ACAAAGCGCACCCAGGTGCGCTTTGGGAAGGGTAGAGACCTTATCACAAGCTTCTGGGTGTACACAATTAGAAGGGGATTATATACCTATAGATTGGCTAGCCCAGCGACTGCTTAAGATACCCCCACCTGCCTGGTGCGAGATCAGTTTGGTGAGCATGCAGTCCAGACCATCAAAAGTTATCAGAGATTTTGCGGACCGCACTAATATGATGCGAACTCTGTTTTGAAAACAGGCCGCTTCAACATACACAGCTTTCAGGGAAGCATTTGGGTTAAGAGTTGTGTTGGGAAGTCACCTCGGAGGGGTGCAGTACAGACTCCTACATCGTTAGACTAATCGACACATGCACTGATAGCTCTGATAAACGCTAGTCATAGATCAGCCCCGATGAAGAATGGTGCGGTGGAGGGCTCACGAAAGTTAGATCAATCAGCGGCATTGTCTCACCCTGTTTCTCCATCTTCTGGCGCAGCACTGTTCTAGTTCTGGTCCTGTACGTCAAGGTCACTGCCCTCGCTAGCGGTCTCTGACTCAGACCCCTCGTCTGAGCTAGAGCTACCTCGTGGCTGCAAGTGCAGCGCTGGATAGCGATACTCCGCCCGCAGACCAGTGCACAACAGCACCTGAATACAAGCGCTCAATCCACATGCTGTTCTAGACCTGTGGCTGGCATCCGTGCATACGTCAAGCAACCGAGACTGCATGCAACAGAGTATCCGCAAGAAGCAAGCCGCCGATGACTGGAACACTCATGGCGTTTCCCGCCAACCGCAGGTAGACTGTTCTCCTCGCGGCCCTTGGGAACTTCACCGTGGAGATGTCAAAGCCCTGCCTCAGTGCCAGCGTGCAACAACAAGAAGAACAAGGAATACGACAACGACGACGACAACAACAGGTGAGAGATGGCACACTGAGGGCCGTTCGAAGCCAATACACCTGGCGGGTCCAACAACTTGGCGCCCCCAAACCAAAATACCTTGCTGTTCGTAGTCAGCCTGGAACAGCAGCCAAGGCACGCAACTAGCTCGTGCTCAAGCACAGAAGCCAAGCACACATTTTTGCAGACTGGGTACGTCGGCATCTTACGATCAAAACGGTGAGCTCCCCGACCCATGGTCTTCACGACGTCCACGGATACGTGCTGCAACCGCATTTCTCCTCGCTCGTAGCTGCCACTTTCCTGTGCGGGCCAAGCTTAGAACTCAAACATGCAATTGCATGACAGTTTGCTCACAAAGTGAGGTAGCGGCCTGGCAAGTTGTATGATACAGCAGATCGAGCTGTTCCAGTTCCCTGGCATTCATGCCTGTGCACCATGATGGCCCAAACTGCTCACGGCACCTGGTCGTGTACCTTATTTTAGCTGGCAAAAAAATCTCAACTTGCAGCCCACATGCCGTTGCTACAAAGATGCAAGATAACTAACGGTAACTCATCATCATCACTCATCACTGATCACTGCTCAAAAATCTGTGATGGGCCGAGTCTCGCCCGGTACTTGCTCAAAGAACCTTCACCATCCAGCCCTAAAGAGCGCCTTCGCTCGTCAAAGTCACCGCGGATCTTGCCCGCACCGCCTTGTGGCATATACCTCGGTTCGGCGTGGGCCCTTGCCTGCGACTTCTCATGTACTTTCTGACTTCAACCCAGCTCATATGCGCAACAAACTCAGCAACACGCATACGGGCATACACATTCTCGGCTCTTTTGGCAGAGACAGCCATTCTGTATGGGTGCTGTACAAGCAAAAAGAAACGTGACTCGCAAGCAGATCCTGCAGACAAGACAAGTGCTGCAGGCTACAGATTCATAGTGAGCGTATTTCCGCGCACTTCCGGCCGAGACTCAAGACAGTTGGTGACTAGCGCATTCTTCAGCAGAGGAACGCTCAGTGTAGGCGGCTTCTCTTCACATAAGCTCTTGAACTACTCGAGTCTCCTAGTCTCCTGCGCATGCACCCTGCTCCATGACAGGAATTCAGAATTCAAAATCTCGCATCCTGGATCCTGAAACACTCAAGGAGGCATCGACTCCTTGCTCATAGCGATGAGCTTGGAATTCACTTCCTCCGCGCATGGTGACTCATGACTAGTTACGACGCGTAAGCACGAACTTCTCAACTCCTGAATGCTGACAGGATTCTTTGCTGAGCCTATCCAAGCGGTTCTGGATGTTGCCCTCCGTCATCTTCTTGGTGAGCATCAGCGAACCACTGACGTACTTGGAGAAGGATGCGACATCTTTGGAGAGTGCCTCCAAGTCGGGCTTCTGCGGTGATCCTGCCAAGACCTTCGCACCACGCATCACGATCTCCATCGCCATCACGCCGTACACTCCAACAGAATGCTGCGTGCTTGTGGGCGGCACTGCAAGTTCCTCCTCCAAAGCACTGACTGCCTGATGCAGCTGAGACGGGAAGTCCTTACGCCAGCTCAAAAAGGCGTGCTTCACCTCCTCAATCTTCTTCAGGTCCTGTGCACCTGACAAAAAGTCAGCGTTCCCTCCGCTTAAAGCTTGCCACGCAGGTAGATTCCATGAGGACGCATCATCTAATCTGAAAACTAAACTGTCAACCACCGAAATGTTACAACGTTGGCAGCTAGCAGTTAAGAACCTAACACGACATCTGCCAAGTTGTTTCAGAAAGTCCAGCAATGCTTCACTGATGGGATGGGACCTGAACTTCCGATATTTACATAGTGACACCAGACCCAACAATGGCATGGCCTGCCACAGAGTTCTGCAAGTCAGCAACCTCGGCACTTCCCTCCGCTTCATACTTGGCAACAATGCTGATAACTTCCATGGGGAACTCATTCGTGTCCTCGGCCATCTGGTCTACCATGCTGCACAGCTTCTGCATGTTCTTGAACACCGGGAGAAGACTTGCCTTCTTCGCGCGCGCATCCAGAATGATCTGTGTCGCGCTGGACTGCGCGACCTGCAGGAAGCTCTTGAACACATCCGCTACTCCTGGCAAACCAGGAGCCTGAGATTCGAGAAGCGCAAGATCAGCTATGGCAGCTGCGCCTGCACGAATAAGAGATTTCGTCAGCCACTTACTCTCCGCGCAGGCAGGGTTCTTCTTGGTGCCCTTGAAGTCCTCCACAAGAGTGAGGCCCCGGCAAAGCGATTCAATCTGGAATCCCAACTGGCTGCGCGACGACGCCGGCAGATCCAAAATTGCCACGTGCTTCTGGGCCATTGCAAGGCTGTGGAACCAATTGAAGGGACGACCATTGACCGCAGGCAGGATCTCAACGATCTTGGCATGCACAGCTTTCAAAGCCTCGGGCACCTTCGCACTCTCGTGCTCAGCACCTCACGCAAGGAATTGCTTAAGACGTGCCCCACTCTCGTCCTACACTACCGCCAATTCCTCGCAGTCGCCACACGGCAGTCAATCGGAACTGGAACCAAACTTGCAGACTTGCAACCTCAACAATCAAAACAGAGTAGCAACTGAGCAGGGCACCATCAGAAGGCGCGCGCACTGTCTCTGACAGGAGGAGCATGCTCTTGCTGTTTTGCAACTGCGTGATGCCAGTGGCTGCAGCTTGAAAAGTCTCAGGGGTCAAAGATGATTCGGCTGCAATCACATCTTGGATTACCTGCACGGTCTCTGACATGACCGCGCAGCAGGCAGTGATCACGTTCTCCTTCAAGCTTGACCATTCTGCGGCCACCTGACATTTAAGAACAGAAGCAGAATACATTGAATAAATGGACCCAGCAGTTGCGAAGTACTGTAGAGTTTAGGGTTTTCGGTAGGGTTTAGACACGCGCATCACAGGGTTGGGTAGGGTTTAGGGTTAAGGGTTGAGGGTTCTCACGGCACAAGGAGTGAAATCCTCCGCAGAACCGCAGGCGTATGGGTGCAACCATCTGACGCTCTGCTGCCAAGCCACACCCCAAGACCGGCCCAGCTGCCACACACCTTTGATTGGGCGAGATGCGCTAATCTCCTTGCGCACGTCCTCCAGCAAGTTGCCTTTGTCCAGCGACAACGCATTCGATAGCATGATCAGGGCAGATGGCAACACCTCCTGAAGGCATTTGTCAAACCTATCCACCAATTCACACAACTTGCGAAAGTCGTCTGTCAACTCATGCTGCGGCATGGACTGGATTTGCTCCACACACCGCTTGGCAGCAAGCATGCACTCGATCGTACCATCTTGGCCAAGCTGAGCGACGCACGCCCTGGCATCCTGTGGACACCCAACCTCGCTCATATTCTTCAAGCACCTGCTGCACTCCGTAGCAAGGCTGTCGGCCGTGAGACACCGCTTGGCTGCCTCCTTGGCCACCACCATCAGCTTCCTAAGACACCGCCATATGCACGCCGCACAGCAATGAAGCGCCATGAAGTGCCGGCATGCGCAGAAAGCACTTCAACTATGTAAATTCTGCAACATTATGTATAACTCATGTCTCACCTATGTCATGTCTATGTCCAGCCGAATCACTTTCCCAGGCCAACCCGCAGATTGTTCCGCAACTTGTCACTTGTGTGCTCCGCATGATGCACAGCCTGCTTAGCCTTGGCCAGCAGCATAGGCGAAGCCTCCTGAACTTAAATCAGGAGCACCTAGCACACGACCGTGTCTTCAGTGGCACGCGGTAAGTACAAGCGATCCGTCCTCCGCTGGAACTTCTTTCAACAGCACCTGCACAACCTCCAGCTCCAGCCGCACAAGAGGGCTGAACTCGAAGGACTCTGGCAACTCCGATGGGTCGAACTTCGCAGGCAACGAAGTCAAGTCAATGGAAGGCACAGGCAACCTTAGGCAAAAAAAGCCACCGCAAACGAAAAGTCTACATCGGCCATGTCACACCCCTGCACGCAAGAATGCTGACAGCGCACAGCCTAGTTACACAGTCAGCCTCTGAGACAGCAGGGCTGGTCCTTTCCAACGGAAGACCGTATCCCAGACCATGCCAATCATTTGATTCTGGAGGGAGGCTATTGTTTTGGTCACCGACGCGGCCCCAGACGTCTTCAAGGCACTCGCGTAATATCCCACATTGAAATCATTGCCGGAAGCGGCAGCGTCAGACCACCTCATGAGTCTGAAAAATGCGTCGCCGAGACTTGGGTCCTGCGAGAAGTGACGGTATGAGTCATGAGCCATGAGTACTACAGGACGATTATAGGCTATAGGCTAGGACTATGAGATGGCTTGGGTAACCTGGGTAACTATCCCCTCCATTGATGCTTCATAATGACAGCCAAAGGCCGAATCTTACTCTGCTCCCATGTGCTGCGTACCCCCTAGCTGCTTATCATCAGCCCGTGCCAAGCTGATGCAAGGGCCCCACGAGCACTCCAGACACACTACGACACTAAAACGATTGCACAAAGTTTCATGCAATATCACAAGCATATGCAGTACCATGGCATGGGGACAACTGAATACACACGCAACCGTACCTGTCCACTTACCTGACCTGTAGAAGAAAAAACAACCCAGCAGCTAGCCAGAACAATAAAAGTCTCCCACAATCGACGTTGCTTCAACTGCTTGTCCTGCGCAACTGCCACCTACTGTCAATAAATAGGTTTAAACGCGTGGTAGCGCTAAGAAACTAAGAAATGGACACAGTGACTGCAGGAGTCTCCTTCAGCCAATCCTTGAGGAGATCCTTCGCAAAGGAGATGATGATGCCAGCAATGACAGGCGGTGACAAGCCGAGCAGCAACTGCTTGTCGCCTTCCTCCCATGTTCCCTTCAACCACTCAAGAGATCCTCGCATGCGATTGAACAAAGCATGGGTGCTCTTCACCTTGTCGCTCAAGCGCGCTATGCGATCCACCAACTCCACAGCATCATCCTCAGTGCACTGCATGATCTTGCTTGCCTGGTCCTCGAGAGCCTTGCAGCCAAGATCGATTGTCCTTTGCTTGTGCTTGGTCTGCCAAAGCTGCATCGGTGACAGCGCTTCAGCCTTGGCCTCGTAGATGCCCTGGGCCTTGTCAATCAGCTTCTGCGACTTGCTCGCTTTGGCAACCTTAGCAGCAGGCTTGCCCTCCTCCGACGCAAGTGCGCGCTTGTCAGACTTGCCGCGAGTCTTCCCACGAGATTTGCCATCTGGCAAGTCCTCCTCGGCCTGCTCCTCAGCAAGCTCTGATGCTGCGTCTGCAGGCCATTCATCTTCACATGAATCTCGCAAGCGCTTGGGAGCAGGTTGCCTGGGTGAGAGATCCGTGTGGCCGCGTGCCATGTTTGCTGGGAAAGTATCAGCTTTCAAGCTGTCCAAGCTCCCAGATCGACGACTGCCAGCACTTGAAGCTGATGCTGCCAGTGAGCGCTTGGCCGTACTGAAGCTGAAGAAATCTTGGGCTTCGTCGTCTGAGTCTCCATCCCCCCCACACGTGGAGGCCACATCCGAAAAAGCCTTGCCGTGCCACCGGTTTTTCTTGTCTGCCACTTCAGCAGCAGTTGGAACACTCCTTTGAAACTCCCGCAGTTCGCTTGCAACAGCTGCATAGCCTGCATTCGCACTGTCGGCGTTGTCATAATGGTACTCCTGCCAGGAATGCACAAGCCCCCGACAACACGGGAATCACATGCTCTTTAAATAGCAGCTGGAATCACCAGTGAATACAAGCAAGTCCTACGTTCGCAGGATAGAGGTACACTTGAATAATTTGTATAATTTCTTGGTTTAGGGTTTAGGGTTCTACAGTTCTATAAGACGAACTATAAGACTATTAGTCTATAAGTTATAAAATTGTACATGTTCTAGGCCTGCAGAAGAAAAGAAAACTTCTGGGACTTATGGAGACATGACATGCGCTACCTGTGACCCGACCCTACCCGCAAGCGTACGAAGACCGCCTGCCATGTTTTCTCTTAGCATCCGCATCCTTGGAACCGTTCCTACGCGGACTCGTACATCATAATCATAACCAAACAGCTTAATACAACTTATTTGGCGAACCCCGACACTATTCACCATCTTTTCCAGACGGTGCTCGTTGAGGCTTAGCTGTAGAGTCTTTAGGGTGAAGATAGGCACTGAAGAACCACTCCGGGTATAGATAGGGTACTAGTAACTAGTAGTACTGCCCCTACCCTGTAACAGTTTATTTTAGAGGGTCGCATGAAGGACGGTGCTATCATATACTAGTTAATCGATACTTGATGATTTCTTACTATGAATACTATCACACCATATCATTCTCCGACGGCTACAGAACGTGGGCAGAATGGGCCTAAGATTAGAGTTCAGCGTGAGGGCTTGAGTGTGTAGAGTTTGGGATAAGGCCTCGAGGGTTTTCTTGCCGCTGCGTAGGGGGGAGTGGAGGAGTGAACATAAAAATTCATATATCATATATCATATCAATATTAGTATGACTATGACCCTAGGATATTGGATAGCAACTATGACATGAAACACTCCCCAACTCCCCCTTTCAAGACTATTGGCTGGGGCTTCGAGGTTAAGGGGTTTTAGTTTTAGGGCTTCGGGCTTCGGTAGGCTTTAGTGTTTGGCGCTCAGGGCTTGAGATGGGTATCTCTCAATATAATCCCTTTAGGGGGCCCTATATAATTCCTGTAATTCCCTTTGTAATCCCTCTATACCCCCTGGGGTCCCTAGGGGCCCCCCTTTTTGAGAAACTCTCAGATTTCGGCGGCTTGGCATTGCAGACCAAGAGAGAGGCAGAGGCGGCAGAGGCAGAGGAGAATGCAGAATAAAACCCTCCCCTTGCATCCCCGAACTTGACCCTCCCCCCAGAAACTCACCTGCACCTTTCTGCCTCCCATCCCGAAATTCCGAAAGACCCTTCCGAAGCAACCCTGGAAGGCCCTGAACCTGACCCCCAACGAATGGGGCCCGGGACGCCCCTGCAAAACCCACCAGCCGTCAGCCCTCTCGAACCTTTCGACCTTCCCGCACGCAAACAGAGAGAGAGACTAACAGAGAAATAGAGAGAGAGAGAGAGAGAGAGATTGAGAGACGGAGACAGAGACATAGACATAGAGAAAAACAGAGATAAAGAGAGAGAGAAAGGGACGAGAATGCGCATGCAGTCAGCTGAGCAGCCAAAGTCGGCACAGTCCTGTCCTGGACTTGATAAGATTGATAAGGGTTTAGAGTTCTATAAAATAGGCTATAGGCTATTACTATTAAGTATCAGTATTAAGCTATAGGGCCGGTTTAGTTTTAGGGCTTAGGGCGCAGGGTTGAGGTGCGGGCCACGCCAGCCGGATAAGCGGTGTTGGATTACTGGATCCCAAGCTGGATTCCTGACATGTCCCTTAACATATGAGGCCCCAAGCTCATTCGTATTTACGCTATGCTATCTAGACCTTCGGACGTGACCCCACCTCATGGGCTCTCCTACCACCCAACCCTAATACTAATTACTTTACTAATTCCTAATAATGTAAGTAGTAAGCCCCTAATACCTAATGACACCGTAGTTATCTGGGCGTTTTCAGGGGGTGGTGGGGGAACCCATGACTCACAGCTCACTCTGGCAATGCCAGCAAGCCCTCCAAAGACTGCAAAGCACAAGCGCCACAACTTGCGGCACTTGCAGATATTGCATTGTCAGTGCCAAGTCTCGCGTTGTCATGCGCACTGCCCACAGCCCGATTAAGAGATAAAGATGGACAGAGAGACAGAGAGGGATATTGACATTGAGACTAGAGAGAGACAGAGATGAAAGAACCTTCCATCCCCGAACTTGACCCTCCCCCCAGAAACTCACCTGCACCTTTCTGCCTCCCATCCCGAAATTCTGAAAGACCCTTCCGAAGCAACCCTGGAAGGCCCTGAACCTGACCCCCAACGAATGGGGCCCGGGACGCCCCTGCAAAACCCACCAGCCGTCAGCCCTCTCGAACCTTTCGACCTTCCCGCACGCAAACAGAGAGAGAGACTAACAGAGAAATAGAGAGAGAGAGAGAGAGAGAGATTGAGAGACGGAGACAGAGACATAGACATAGAGAAAAACAGAGATAAAGAGAGAGAGAAAGGGACGAGAATGTGCATGCAGTCAGCTGAGCAGCCAAAGTCGGCACAGTCCCGAGCTCAACCCCTTTCTAAAATGCAATCACAGACATGGTGAGACAAGAGAGAGGGCAGAAAGGAGAAATGTGATGAGGGACACCACGTGAACTGAAACAGGGCCCAACGGTGTTAGGGCTTAGGTAACTTAGGTTCCACTCTAGAGACTCTAACCTAGCGCCCGCTAGAGGTTTCCGGCATAAGTTCCATGTCCCATAAAAGAACAAAACCCCGCCTTCTGCTTGCCAGCTGATTCGCGCTCGCCCATGCGAACCTTCATCTCCCCGCTCTTGATCATGACGAATTGCTGATCCTGGTAGTTCACAATCTTGCCGCCCAGCTCCTGGCGATACAGGCGCGAAAAGGCTTGGGATTGTGGGAGTCAGCGCTTAAAGGCCTGCAGTTTCAGATCCCAAGAATTCTACTTCCTCCTCTATGAACGCCATCTTTCGCTCTTTGGACGGAAAGATGTCAGGATCAACGTCGTTCTGCGCCAGGAACGTGTCTGGGTTCTGGAGCGTACCTTCCTGGAACACGTCCGTGTAGTGCTGGGACTTCTTGAAGGCGGTCACGTCAAACTTCTCGTGCTGCTGCTTCCCAGGCAGCGCGTTCAACGTGCGCTTTTCCTCGAATTTGTCGGCTGCCTCCTGCAAAGCCAGCCAGTCTTACGACTGTATCATTATCAGTATCAGCAATTATCGCACCAACACAACATCTCCACTTCAAAGGGCCGTCAGCAGTCCTTGCTGGTCTTGCGAAGATCGGTCAGCTGGGCAAGAGGCATGGCCCGGTAGTTCTTAACCCTCGTGACCTGAACTATACTGGAGTGGCCGTTTACATGTGTCCACTTAGTTCAACAAAGCACAGTAAAAGTTGATCTGCCAAGGACATGGAGAGAACTGACCCCTAACTTAACTCCTAAACCCAAAGCCCTAAACCGTAAACTCTAAACCCATGCTGGCTGATTGAACTTTGGAGGAATTGTGAGTTGAAGTGGAACGGCATTTCCTCATTGTTGAGTCAACGATGAGGAAATGCATCAAAGATCAAACCGGAATTGCCAGGCCTGCACCCTTCATCCTCGTTTCCACTCGATTCCTTGTTGAAACTAGCC